ATTATTATTATTATTATTATTATTATTATTATTATTATTATTATTATACACAAAAATGACAGTATACACAACAAACGAGATAACCATCCTGGGTTCCGTATCACGAATCACTAGTCGAACACTTCCCAAGTGTTTAGGACTGCGTGATGTATCAGTGGATTATGCGAGCAGATCCCACTAAGGTGGCCTTCTGCAGCTGACCAATGGTGATCTTGTCAGCGCCAATTGTTTTTAAGTGCTTGCCTAGGTCTTTAGACACAGCACCCAGTGTGCCGAGTACCACTGGAACCACCTGCACTGGTTTGTGCCAGAGTCTCTGCAGTTCGATTCTCAAGTCCTGATATCTGGTGACTTTTTCAAGTTGTTTCTCGTCAATTCTGCTGTCACCAGGTATGGCAATGTCACGATCCACACTTTTTCTTTTCTACAATCGTGATATCCAGAGTATTGTGTTCCAAAATTTTGTCAGTCTGTATTCGGAAGTCCCACAGTAGTTTCGCATGCTCATTTTTGATTATTGTTGTTGTTGTTGTTATTGTTATTATTATCCAAGGAATAACAGTGGCACACTTTTGACAAAACTGCTTGAATGTCAAGCTAACATGGAAATGAGACGACTGCATGAAAAAAAAATCTCCCTTTGAGTCTGAAAGTTGTTTTAAAAATTCATATACTTTAGAAGTCAGACTAGCTTTGTAGCCCATCACAGGAGGGTGTAAGGAAGGTATTGTTGGTTGCTGTGAATGGGGTAACTTGAGCAAACATACCAATCAATGCTACTGACATTGGTTTTACATCTTCAAAAGAGAACTAATGGCTCACTTTTGAAATCCCCAAGCCATTGGGAAGAGTCTTTAAAGTCTGTCCATCCTTCTCAGCACGTATTTATGATTAAGCTGAATGGGACTTAACCAAATAAAAGGTCTGTATTCCTAGTCAAATGATCCTCTATATTCCAAACAGTCTCAGTTTGATGTGTCGTCTTGAAAGTCTTTACTAGAATAAAACAAATACACTTGCGCTATAGCTCAACTGTAATTTAGGTCAAAGCCAAGTTCTTGGTGATGCCAAAAAAACCTTCCTTAAGGGGATTAAATTTTTAAATTTTCTTTGATCATGCTTGAAATTAATATGCTTGAGCTGGAAAATGCTGTAAAAATGTCTAGGAGGCTAAACAGATCACAGTTCTCTATGGTAGACAGCCTTTTAGCAAAAAGTACAGAGACATGATTCCCACCACTTGTATAGTTCACAACTATTTTCATGAGGCAAGACACTTGTTTTTGTTCCTTTGTTTCCCTGAACTGAACTTTTTGTCCCTGGAAATAATTTACAAGTACTAGAACTAGAAAGGGGAAACAATGGAAAATGGTTGCTTCTTTCTTTCCTTTTTTAACCTGCCAGTTCTTTTGCAAGCAATTTGGGCTTAGGCTTCCATTTCCTAAGCACGGGAGACATTGATAGAGGAGAGGGACTATTCTCTTACCCTCCTGATCAAAGCCGTGTTTCCTGGGTCGAAGTATTAATAGATGCCATCTGCTGCTATATAAAAATTGTATTGGTCCTACGCCTTATTTCCATTTGCAAGTAATGT